CGGTCTGCCAAGTAGAGTCTGGATAGCTTGGACACCTACTCCACTTGGGAAGGAGACGCCTCAGACCATATTTCGCGCGGAGAAAGGTTGAAAGATAATGGAGGCATGTCTGGATAACTCAGGGTTTTTGAGACGTTCCCCTGGGTGGGTATTCACGGATGAGGGTTAACTTCGGGTGAAGAAAAAGCTACCATAACTTCGCAGTGGTACTTTCAAATAAAATTCGAGGCATAAATGCTCTTCTTTTAAATTGAGTCATCTATTATAAACTTCTCTGATATTGTGTCATAGCAAGATAGCTGCATACGCCATTAAAATCTGATGCAAAAAAAAAAAAAGATGTAAGAAATGGTCGAAAACGAGATCAAAGCAGAGGAAAACTAAATCGAGTTCCTCGTTCGGAGGTGAGGCAAACTAAACCAAGCTACATAAACATGGCACGTCCAGATAGCGGAGTATGCTCGAATCAAAATAAATTTATGGCCACAGCCATAGAGTTTCTCCAATTCTTGGTCTTTCAATACGTTTCGACGTTCCCAAAACAGCCCAACTAATTAGAGCGAGGCCCTGCTGCTAGTGAACCTCTCATAATTCTCGCGAAATTGAAAGGGAATGGCTACTCCTGCCAGTCTGTGAAACAGCCTTGGTCAGGAATCTTCCCTTTGCTCCTTATCATCCCCATATAAATATGTCAGACCAGTATCAGAACCCGGTGGAATTCGTATTCCTGAATTAATGTTTCGTGATTCATGTAAATTCCATTCTTCTAACATGATCGTAACATTATTGTCAGAATAATATGCCAAGCTGGTACCTGACATAATTTGTGATTGCCTCAGGAAAACCTTGGCGTTTTGGGTAATTTTCAGCTAGAAAATGCTTGGCGTCCGTGTAACAGACGTGGTGGACTGGTATTGAGTCGGTTTAGGATTACATCTTGGCTACAACATGTTTGGATTGTATCCTGTGATGTAAGGAAGCTATTTCTAGATATTATCATCATATTTCAGGTAGTAGATATGTGTAGATATATAAGCTGAGAGTAAGAGGAAGGAAGACAGAGAGATAGACAATTACATCTTTTTATTTACTTCAATTGAAAGCTCCTGTGCGAGCTATTCTTCCAGATACCTCTAGTCTCAATCATTACAGCTTCCGAACCAGCTCAAAAGGTTCGACAAAATAAGTCAGCTAAAGTGTAAGCTCGACACTCGTCATCTGTCGTGGCTACATGGCTGAATCAAGATGTGAAAAATAGTGGTCCTAGGGCGCCCAATGCTCTTACAAAGTCCAGAGTTGTCCGTTGAAGTGAACTCGTGCATACTTTTGAACAGCATCCATCGTTTGCCGAAGCTCTTCATTCCTTCTCATATCTCTAACGTTGCTTCGAGATGTTTTCTCACTGGACACGCACATGGTGATTTTAAATCTCCAACACATGTCCAAGGCGCTGAGGGCAGAGGTTGTGAGGATGGGTGGGGACAGACGCGCATACTCTCGAAAATTCAATGAGGAAAAAAGTGAGGGTTTTCAGGTGTTCGGACACATCCAGATGCATATTAGTAGATGAAAGGGATTAGGACAGTCCACACTACTGAGATGCAGTTTGAACTTGATATCCATGACGTGGCAGGACGGACCCGACAACTTTTTAGACGTGACATGGGTTTGTGGGCCCTGAAAGCTAGTTGCCGCCTACACGACTGGCAATAGAGCTAGAAGCGACGATATAAAAAAGAATGTACAATAAATGCCTGAGTTACGGCGCCCTGTCACCCATCCCTACCTCCCAGACACATCGCATGTCGAGTTGAAAACAGTCCCGGCATGATAATCTTCCACCCTGTTCATTCTTCGCTAGACTGTAACGTCGGCCTGATGTTAGGAATTGGAAAAACTCCTGCCATCCCTTCTCCATATCATTTCCCTGGCCCCAGGCGGGACCGCTTTCTCGTAGCTTCTCCAACCTAGCCATGCGCGTGGGCATTGAAAATGTCGGCGACATTTATTTCGACCATAAATGCATTTCAGATATTTATCTTGAGCATTTAAACATCGGTGATAGTCGACGTGGAGGTAAAGGGTGGGATGTAGTTTGGTGGATATCAGGTTTTTTTAGTTATGTCTAAATATACATCGTAAATAGAGAGAGAGAGGTCTGTTTATTGTACTACTTGAGTCATCGACTATCTAGCACATTGGGCTCCTCTCTGACCCAGGCCACACCTTGTAGAGTGCTCCTATCCTCTTTTGTTACATGTAGGATTATTGACATATTTCCCGAGATGAATAGCCATTCAGCTCAGTACTTAGCCGTTGAATTCAGCCACCTTTTTCACGGAAACTTCCACCCAAGAAATGAAAATGGTAGCAATGGAAACTGCCTGCACGAGAAAAAGTCTCATAAAACCCGCAGTCCTAGCCAGACGAAGCCTAGACACTGGGGCCATGAGTTGCGCATATCCATCTATATCTCCCTTCTTTGTAACAGTCGAGGTCGACTTTATCCAATCCACCATCTCCGTATCGGGTGCTGGGTACGCTCCGGAAACTCATAGGATGGCATCTCCTCCATGATCAAGTGTTGGTGATGAGTAGGGCTCCGACTCTACCATCTGATCTGATCGTGGTTAGCTTCATGATAATGGTGATAGGGGAATGTGTTGAAAGATGAAGACAATATAGACTGCGAGAGCGATTGGGAATCCTCGTCAAAGTGAGGACTTTGTTACTCAATCTCGGCTCTGCAGGCTCTACAGTGAGAGCTGGAGGTTCGTAGGGGACACCACTGACAGGTGTTGAGAAAAGTCCCCCTACATCGTAAGTACATAACTGGACATACCATAATTAAAAAATACCAAAGTCATTGACACCGTGTAAGTATCGCCATGATCGAGGACGAGAGGAGTTGTAAATTAGAATCTATCTTAGACGAAAGTCTTAGATTACTAATCCATGGGGTAATTTCTCCCGCACCATAACCATATCTACGCCTCAGCTCTGATTGCAATGTGGCATTAGACATCGAAAACGAGCGTGTGGGTCTTCGTGATCTATTCCAGGGCTGAACGCTAGGGTTCTACACGATTCAAGACATGAATGAAGTCCAGAGTGGATAGTCATTTCGGTGGGACCACGTAATTTACTATTATTATTTCGTTATTCTTAATTTTCCGTCCAAGACCAGGTTGAATACGCAGTGGACTAGGTAAATGTCCCATCTGTGACAGTGAACTCAAACCGACAGGGCCGCGCTCGTGCCAAGTCTATGTAGGATTTAGATGGTATCTATTTTCCAGCGCTGGAAATCCCATAATTAAATGCTAGAGCATAATTACAAGCGGTATTCTTAGCTTGGTATTTTAATCCACGTTTGCGTGCGCCGGGGCAGCGGGATATCCTACATCCAGGTCAGTTTTATGTGTTTCGATGCAGCTTAGTATATATTCTATAATGTTTCTGCGTCGAAAATTTCGTTGGACCACATGCGTGTCCTTTAAAGTGGACAACGGTCATGTCTTTCCTGTGGATGACATTCCGGTGGCAGGCAATGAGGGTGTAACTCTGGCATCAACTGTAACAAACATTACTGGCATAGCGCATCCATGGCCACAAAGATACAACTCTTGATCCACTATGTAGGATCTGCACGCCGTCGCCTCGGAACCAGACTTCATTATTCTGCTCACATCGTTCGTTTCTTGCCGCAGTCAGAGTTGAAGCCCATGTTGCGCCAAATCTAATAGCGACAAAGGTTGAGGTTTAAAGTTCCTCTGGTAATGCGAGTTGCGCTCCATTTTAGGAGTTTTCTGTAATAACTGTTTCACGCGACATGAGCAATCATGAGACGCCAATTCAACGCTTCACATGCTACTCTCCCTTTTGTCCCCATCAAGGGCTTTAGCAGTGAGGAAACTTCCCAGCAAATGCTTTAAGGATGTAGATATGCTTGTTAGCAGTATACGACGCTGCTGTTGCTACCTAAAGGCTGATGTGGTGAAATATCAATCGATCCTCACTAGCAGGTTGTATACTCACATCTTGAGCTAGGTATTCCGCAACATGTAGTCTGTTGAAACTTACCCCGTACTTTCTCTCGCTACTAGTTTGATTGCCTACTGTCTCCGCAAACCATAGCAGCAACACTTTCATCATCTAATTGAACCAGAAAATACGAGACATAAAACCCTGGTTGGATTATCGAAACAAGTGCAAATTTGATCAAGTGAGATGTGGAACATTTGTATTTCACTTAAGAGCTGATTTGATTTGTCACACTTCGAGCATTCTCAGTCCAGGTTTAAAAATGATATGCTTGTCTTCTATACCTAAAAGCTGACGTTTATTCTTGAGAGTGTAAATACTCTCGTTAGTCACCCTTCCGTCTTCCATCCCATCTTAATGTTACTTACAAATTCTCATAGAATTGAACATTGTGATGCAGGCTGTAGTGAAGTTGCAACTCGTTGCAGTAAGATAGTAGGATCTAAGTTAAGATTAACTACTCCAAGGGATTTTGGCAGAGGGAAGGTATCTTCAATTTTGAGCTTATTCCTTGCAATTTGTCAGGACATTTTAACCATCATGTGTATTACATGTAGGTTGAGAAAATTTCCAATATGTAGTGAAATAATTTAATCATAGTGGAACTTCATCATATGGTATGACTAGCAACTATTTACCCAAATCACTTGGATCGGTGCATTCGAACTCGTAAACTTGAAATCGCCGGAATTTGGTTGTTCCCTCAATCTAAAACGCTCATATCGTCGCATACCCCTGTCACCGGGAAAGTACACATAATACATTCCAAGTGCCACCCATTAATAATTTCAAGTCCAAGTCCTCAAGTAGCAACAAGATGACTGATTATCGGCGAAGCTACTTTTAATACCGCAAATAATAGTGACCACTTTACTTCTACCACCTAAACTACACACATCCTTCCAAACTGGTAAGAATCAGGACTCTGGTCTTGAATAGACCAAACAACGATCAAGATGAGTGGAACGGACTACTCATATGACGATGAGGTAAGAGACTCTACGCAAAACTCAATGGCCGCAATTCTAAATAATATTAGTGTCAATTCTTTCCGTTCTTCTTCCTCACCATGGCTGGAATAATCACCATTCCTTTGACGTACTCGTTACTCAAACCAAGCACGAATCCAAGAGCAATCGCACCCAAAATCACTTCGGAATTCCGGCCTGATCAAGCAGATATCATTGACTCACTACTGAAGGCGCAAAAAAGACGGGAGCTAAAGCTCAAGCGAATATGTACAGTAGTAATAGGATGGTTTACCATGTTTGCGATGACGTACCTAATTATGGTCACGGCTCGATCCGTTACAAAAATCTGGAATCCATATGACATTCTTGGTATATCAGAGGTGAAGAATAACCCGTGTCATACATAGACTCCTATTAACTCAAGAGATATAGTCCGCTTCTGCAAAGGAGATCAAATCACATTTTAAGCGCATGTCTCTCAAATTTCACCCGGATAAAATTCGACCAGATCCGGCCAAAAATCAGACAGCCCAATCGCTAAGTGATCATTTTGTAGAGCTTACCAAAGCCTACAAAGCGCTTACAAACGAAGAAATACGAAATAACTACATTCAGTTTGGTCATCCCGACGGCAAACAAAGCTTTAGCATCGGAATCGCTCTGCCGAATATTTTAATCACTGACGGCAATGGTAAATACGTTCTCCTAGTCTACGCACTTTTATTAGGGGTTTTACTACCTTACCTTGTCGGATCATGGTGGTATGGGACCCAAAGCATGTCAAAAGAAGACGTCCTGGTCAAGAGCGCCAACAACCTCTTTCTAGAATATAAAGATGATATCACCCAAAGCGGCATTCTTAGCGCCCTAACTACAGGCGTAGAATTTCAGAAAATGCTATCGGGACAATCAAAAGAGTCAGACATTAAAAAGATTGAAGCTAAAATTCTGGAAACATCTAGTCCAGATTTGCTGGACAATTCACCTTGTGGTATGTGTCAAAAAGACCAGGAAAACCTACAGTCTCTTGAAAATAGCGTTCGACGGGAATCCCTTGGGCTCCTCTGGGCATACCTTGGGCGCATAGATCTTAATGATGTGTCGCTCGATCGGCTAAAGTTAGAAGCTGCCCCAATCGCTCTAGCTCTGAACAGGTCCTTCTCGGCTATTGCATTCGCCTTTGGTTCAACTGCCCCGGTACTTCAGTCGTATTTCACCTCTCAAAATCTATTGCAAGCCGTGCCACCAGGAGGTTCTCCTCTTCTTCAACTTCCATATTTTACTTCCAAAATTGCTGGAATTATCGAGGGAAACTCTAAGAATCATCTTACTATTCAGGAGTATATGAAAATTCCTGGGTCCATCCGACGAAAGCAATCCATCGGCAAAGGACTCTTAACTGAAGCACAATATAAAATTGCCGTCTCTGTAGCCAGACAACTACCAAGGCTACAGGTTGAGAAGGCTTTCTTCAAGGTTCCAGGAGAGAAGTTTATTACTACGAACTCTTTGATTTCATTGGTATTAAAAGGTCGATTTATACCACCCGGCACGTCTCACATTCCTAAAGTTGAGGATTGTGACCTTGAGGATGTTGATCCAGAGGAAGGTGATGTCGATGCAATACTTGGTCGAAACAAGACCGGTGCCGGAGGCAGGTCTAGTAAAAAACAAAAGCCTTTCCAGCCCCCACTTGCCCATTCTCCATACTTTGCTCGCGACTACTCACCTCGATGGCACGTTTTTCTCGCTGATAGTAAGCAGGGGAAGATTGCTGTCCCTCCTTTTACATTCACTGCATTTGAAAAGCCCATATTCGATCAACAAGGAAAGCCTACTTTTAATGTACAGACAGTGAAAGCCCAATTTCAGGCCCCGCCGCAAGCTGGGCATTACACGTTTGTGATGCATCTAGTTTGTGATTCCTACATTGGCTTTGACACGAAAATGGAGATCACCCTCGTTGTTGAAGAAGCAAGCAAGGCGGTCGAGATCAAAATTGAGGATGATATAAGCGAACCAGACGAAGGTAAGATCTGATTTTTTTTCAAGTCAATAACAAACTAACTCGTTCGGCAGATTCTATCGCTGGCCAAATGCAAGCGCTTAAGACCGGAGGCACCGGTACAGCATCAAAGAAGAAATCAGCTGCCAAGGATTCAAGCGACGACGAGAGCGATACTGACGGGGATGTAAATGAAGCTGAAAACGGTGCGAGTGAGACGGACACAGATACTGATGGCGAGTAGTGTGCTTATCACGTGCTCTCGTTCCTCAATCATAAATACGATGTATTACCAATAGAAGTTGGCAGGCGTATTGAGTTTGGACTATATAGATCAAGTCCATGTAAACTTTAAATTGTGAGATAATTATGGCATATATCCTTATGAAAAGAAAATTCAGGTTTATTACAAGTTAACTCCGGTAAAAAGTAGTGAGACCGACCCAGCATAAGCATCCAACTCCTTGGGCTGACTCTTGACATAAATGATCAAACCATAGTAAGGAACATGGAAATTGCCCCAAATAAACTTGTATCAACAAACCTTGATACCACACACTTCGATAAATGGTCCTATCACCGAAGCTGTGCGCCCAAGATATTTTTGGGTCAGCTCTGCTACAAAGTCATGATCTGCTGTCGACCACACATCCAGGCCCAATCGGGCAATATCAGCACAATTTACATCTATGACTGGTCCAGAGTGATCCTCGCAGCTACCCGATGTAGGTTGAAGGGGATTGCTCTCATCGTATTGCTCATCATCTAGCTCCCCTGTGTCCGAAAGATTGTTGAGAAGGCAAATAGTCTGGGTCGTGAGACTATTAAAGTAGGCGATGATAGCTGTCTCGACCCGTGCTGATTTATCGTGTGGAAACATGGATTTTCCAGGGGATTTCTGGGTCGGGGAAAGCTGAGGATGCGAAAATGTCTGATTGGAGGTGGAAAGGTTAGACAGGAGAAGCGAATCTGCTTCAGATTCTTCCTGGAGCCATAGATATTGTTCACTTGCAGAAGCCCACCACACAAAGCTTGAATAAGCCAGCGCCGACCAAGTGATTGGTTCGATGATACTGTCGGTATTTTGGAGGCTTATCGAAGAATTCCTTGCTGGTACAGATAATGTAGCATCCTTCAGGGATGGCTTACCAACTACTTCTGCTGTATTAGTGCTGGGAAGATCTTTGGGGTTGGGTGTAGGAGGTTGAGAAATGTGTCGTGTCAATCCCCATCTGAGAGACTTGTATCGGTTAAGGTCACGTTGACTGGCTTTTATTTCAATCCCCTGAGACGTTTGAAGTTTGGGCCACAACATGTCGCTGTCATCTTGGTGTTTTGACGGCATGGTGATGAGAACGTCGTAAAGAGTATTTTTCGTGGCTAAGACTTTATCAGTGGTGCAGGCAATCCACCCACTACCCATAATCCCTCGTATTTCTGAATAGTTGGACTCTGTGTTGATGTGATTTAGCTTTGACATCCTTAGATCTTCCTCCAGAAACGGTATATCGTGAATTCCAATCGAAAAGAGCGAGCGCAGTCTCTGGGGAGGGGCTTGAGGCGCTAATAAATGACGCACGGCGAGGGGAATATTGGAGAGGATGGAAATGTCGTATACTTCCATTTCGTTAGTATTCCTGAGAAAGACGGAGCTTAAACCAACCATATTTGCAGACCTCCTGGATTGGAACTGTTGTAGTAATTAGTATTCTCTGTCTCAGGAGCGCCGCACGATAAACTGGGAATATTAGAGGTCCAAACTTTTCTAAGAGGCCCGATATGCTTGATGCTGGGTGATTTTCAGGTAATGTGTCTTGAGAGGGTACACAGCTAGGAGCATCTGATGTTGACAAATTCCGCTTTTGGATTCTTGGTTTCGATGGAGAGCTAGGCAGGGATTTGAATTCCGGGTTAGATGGTGTATCAAGTAGAGACTCATGATCGAATTGGATGGATAAGTTAAGTTCTTTGTGCTGTTCCCAATAATCTTCGAGTACCTTTGTCTTGCTGGTATCGTGTATCAACTCGCTGGATCCAGAAAATTAGTGATTTAATGGATTTCTAGATCATGAGTTACAACCTTGCCATTTTCTTTAAATTTTCGGAGTGCTTCCAACTTCTCCCGAGTCTTCCACAGATGAGTGGAACCATAATTCCTACGGCAATCATTCGAGAGTTTCTCATCTCTTCGCCCGCTGGTATATTGATGAAAGCGCTAAGTCCAGCATAATTATCATGTACAAAGTATATTAAGTCTTCCTTGACTAAGTGTAGTCCAGATGGAAGACTTTTGTACTCGACCACGCCCTCGAGCTGGACATTAGATAGTGATCGTTTCCATGCAATTGTATATCCTGCCTTTATATCGAAATATATGAGGAAGAGAGCTGAGATGCGTGGGAGGACGGTTCTCTCAAGTCCCATTGGAATTTCGATGGCCAGAGATCTTTGCCCGGGTTGAACGGTCGCCATAGTAAGTGGTGAATAATTGTATTATCTTTGGCAACGATTGTAACGTATTGGAAACATGAGACGTGTAGGTATACTGTGGAAGGTAGCCTTATTATGAATCCTATGGACAAGGGTCAAAACTGGGAAATCAATCTGTCCAAACCGCAACAGCTTTCAAACAGTCTGAGGATTAACGTGTATAAATTGAATAATTCTATGCGGATGTTTGAGAATTAAAGACTGATGCTATCCATTGGTGGGATTCTTGACCTCGAAGAAAATTACAAACATCCTATTTGCAAGTTAAATACTGAATTAAGCTCTTCATGGCTATTAATAATGCGAAAGTGTAAAACTTTCTATAGCCACTGGGCTTGTGCAATGGAACGTGCTTATTTCGAGGAATCTGCTTTTGATAGAGAGATAAATTTCAGCGATAAGGCGGGGAGTAGTAATATAGATAACCAGACAAACTAATCGAAGAAAGGGCACACTCGACCAACATAATGGCGGTGAGTTTAACTACACAGGTGTGAGATACCTGCATTGGAGAGTGGGGTCAAACGGGGACAATTCAAACATTCCAGTAGGTACTGCCTATACAAATTGATACCGTAACTGAATGAAAAAATTACAGCAATCAGAAACAACTAATTTTTACACACATTGTTTGTTTCTAGTCTATGGAAGAATTGTTTCCAGAGAGGCTTTGTGAGGTGCAGGAGGAACCTTATAGCTATCGGTGGACGATACTCTACATCTGTCAGTGGTGTCCCCCACGAACCTCCAGCTCTCACTGTAGAGCCTGCAGAGCCGAGATTGAGTAACAAAGTCCTCACTTTGACGAGGATTCCCAATCGCTCTCGCAGTCTATATTGTCTTCATCTTTCAACACATTCCCCTATCACCATTATCATGAAGCTAACCACGATCAGATCAGATGGTAGAGTCGGAGCCCTACTCATCACCAACACTTGATCATGGAGGAGATGCCATCCTATGAGTTTCCGGAGCGTACCCAGCACCCGATACGGAGATGGTGGATTGGATAAAGTCGACCTCGACTGTTACAAAGAAGGGAGATATAGATGGATATGCGCAACTCATGGCCCCAGTGTCTAGGCCTCGTCTGGCTAGGACTGCGGGTTTTATGAGACTTTTTCTCGTGCAGGCAGTTTCCATTGCTACCATTTTCATTTCTTGGGTGGAAGTTTCCGTGAAAAAGGTGGCTGAATTCAACGGCTAAGTACTGAGCTGAATGGCTATTCATCTCGGGAAATATGTCAATAATCCTACATGTAACAAAAGAGGATAGGAGCACTCTACAAGGTGTGGCCTGAGCCAGAAAAGAGTCCAACGGAAACAATAGTCTATGAGTTGTGAGGAAAGGTGAAACATCCTCGCCCTAACCTTGTAGTACTTAATGTCGTGCATGCGCGCAGCACGTGCTAGCGCCCTTGGGGGATCAGCATTTTATGGAGCCGATAACATACTTTCTAGCGCTTGACTAAGCAATTATGTTACAGAGAAATGAGCTTTTCCAGTGAGTCACTTTTGGTTTATCCAGCAGAGAATATATATCTACAGTCAGACCCCTGTTAAGGCGATCCTGGCTAAGACGATATTGCCGTTTATACGATATACTTTCTGGAAGCGGACTACGTTCCCATACATTTACCGATTACACGATTATCGTTCTTCAACCTCTGAATATCGTCTTGACCAGGGTATTTTTTGTTAGATTCGTGCTAATAATGCCGCCAAAAAAGGGAATTTATGTAGAGCAGGGACGTGCTCTGCGACGATTGGCGCACCGCCAGGCCCCAAAACCAACACAAAAACAGTGCATGGAGTGGTTCTTCACTGAGTACGGCCATCGAGTAAGCCAGTCCACAGTCTCCGGATCTTTAAACAAGACCTTTGCGGATCTCGACGAAGCTACAAGTACTACTGCGCTACGACAGCAAGCTGGAAACTTTATCTCACATCAAATAAGGATAAAAAGCCATAAATATCAAATTCATCTACACTGGTGTCCAGGCCATGAAGGTATTGCTGGGAATGAGCTAGCTGACAATCTGGCAAGAGGTGGAGCCAAGAAAATTTTCAATAAAAGAGATAAATTCACAACTATTGCTTACCTTAAGTAGAAGGCAAAGGAAATGACTCTCAAAGCCAGGCAAAATGACAGGGAGACACAAGTCTTGAGACAAGAAGAGGGTAAAAGGGCTAAAGGACTGGGAAGGCTCTATCAAGCGCAAGACAGGAAAAGATCACCTGTCATAAAAATGAGATCATACAACTTCAGTCATGACAGTAGAATGACACAATCTTCATTTATACAAGCGAGAACAGGGATCGGAAATGCCAGGGCCCATTTATTTCGAATTACAAAAGTAAGGGATAACTCTTGCAACTTTTGTTGGAAGGGAAAACAGTCTGTTCAACACCTACTTCTTTATCGTAGTAAGTTTAAGACTGAAAGAAAGGAAGCCTTTAAAGGCATATTGCCATTGAGATTAGAGATATTGTTTAATACAAAAATTGGAAAAGAAGCAACGCTCCACTTCCTTCAAGAAACAGGATGCATGAGTGCATCCAAAGCTGACTGAAGGGGAGGAGACTAGAAGATAAGTAGAGAAAATGCGGAATTAAATATTTGTATTTAGATATAAAATAATCAGATGTGTCATAGCTAGATAGCTGAATACACTATGAATAAAAATTAAATAAAAATGACAAAAGAGCTGGAAACTGGCCTGACCTTGAGGGTATTAGAGCGATTAAAGACGGCAAGTGGGAGCATCAAAGAGGCATCAAAGGTAAAAAGTAGCCTAGATAGCTGGATTAGATAATCATATCCTTTTAAACGATATCCTCTGTATGACGATATTTTTCACGGCCCGATTACGTTATCTTAACAGGGGTCTGATTGTACCAGACTTACGGGGGGAATAACTCTTTGTAGACTAGGATAGTTTAGGTCAAGGCGGGGGGAACACAATAAAACATCACATCACGCCACATCAAGTGTTGGCTTTAAAGGGCAAGACTGAACACCTGTACACGGTGTCCTCTTCGAACCTGGGAGTGAAATATTCTCCCAGAGCCAAGTTCAGTCAGATTTCGCAATACCGAACAAGTTGGCCCACGAGGCAATGATTCAAATTACTCCACCATATCAATCTTTCACTCCCAACGAAGTCGAATCCTACCTAAGCCTCATCAAGTTTACAAATACGACCCAGTACATCCTCATTCCAATGACCATACCTCTTGTCGACTTTCTCTGGCCTCAGCTGGTCGCCAGATACACGTCCACGCCGATATTTATACCCGAAGGAGGAAACAGATCGTGGCGCACAAATTTGGGAGATAGTTCTTTGGGATGGGCGTGAGAGGATTCAGGTCAAGTTCACAAAATGATGCGAAGGATGGATACAGTCTCAACGGGCGTGGAATTTCGAATTTTGGCAAAGAATTTTTACAAATTGAGCTTTGTGCGTGCCAAGGCTTCGGTTGCGCAAGTGTAGGCAACACTATAAACATCGCCATGGTTGGATGGTGCGGTGGTACATCGTCTTGGCCGGTCTGCCAAGTAGAGTCTGGATAGCTTGGACACCTACTCCACTTGGGAAGGAGACGCCTCAGACCATATTTCGCACGGAGAAAGGTTGAAAGATAATGGAGGCATGTCTGGATAACTAAAGGTTTTAAAACGTCCCTTTGGTGGGTACTTACGGAGGAGGGTCGAATGTTTGTGTAAGCGAATATGACTCATTTTTATTTTTGCATCAGATTTTAATTGCGTATGCAGCTATCTTGCTATGACACAATATCAGAGAAGTTTATAATAGATGACTCAATTTACAAGAGGAGCACTCATGCCTCGGATTTCATTTGCAAGTACCTCTGCGAAGTTATGGTAGCTTTTTCTTCACCCCAAGTCAACCCTCATCCGTCAATACCCACCCAGGGGAACGTCTCAAAAATCCTGAGTTATGCAGACATGCATCCATCATCCATCAACTTTTCTCCGCGCGTAATGTAATCTGAGATGTCTCCTTCCCAAGTGAAGTAGATGCCCGAGCTATTCAAACTATACCAGAGAACACTAACAGAAGGCGTATCACAACACCTTCCATCGTCAGCTTGTGTTTATAGTGTCGCCTGCACTTGCGCAACCGAAGCCTTGGCACGCACAAAGCTCAATTTGTAAAAATTCTTTGCCAAAATTCGAAATTCCACGCCCGTTGAGACTGTATCCATCCTTCGCATCATTTTGTGAACTTGACCTGAATCCTCTCACGCCCATCCCAAAGAACTATCTCCCAAATTTGTGCGCCACGATCTGTTTCCTCCTTCGGGTATAAATATCGGCGTGGACGTGTATCTGGCGACCAGCTGAGGCCAGAGAAAGTCGACAAGAGGTATGGTCATTGGAATGAGGATGTACTGGGTCGTATTTGTAAACTTGATGAGGCTTAGGTAGGATTCGACTTCGTTGGGAGTGAAAGATTGATATGGTGGAGTAATTTGAATCATTGCCTCGTGGGCCAACTTGTTCGGTATTGCGAAATCTGACTGAACTTGGCTCTGGGAGAATATTTCACTCCCAGGTTCGAAGAGGACACCGTGTACAGGTGTTCAGTCTTGCCCTTCTTGTTTTTCTTTTGTAATGCGGGATTTCGTATGAAGGTTTTTGTTTGTTTCCAATCTGGGCTGCCGGACTCGTCATGATTCAACACATGGATGGGGATTGCGTTGTTTCTCGATCTTAGAGCGACAGCTACTGTAGATTTTCTTTAGGGCGAATTAACCATTATATTATATTAAGATTACCTATACCAACTACCGCTATCAAAGGACTCCTCTCCAGAGGCACTCTACATAAGAAAAGTTTTCCATTTCAGCTCTGACCACGTTTCTTTCTATGACTAATTCATGACTAACCCAAGGCTCCTTCCTGATTAGTTTCAGGGTGAAGTTTGTTAAAGTTCTAGGGGGTACCTGAAATGATA